GATAATTGTTAGGTGTTTACTTTCTTTTGTACCACAGTTTATATCAGGGATCTGCCATTGTTTCCATTATATACGATTCAAGTTAAACAACATCCGGTCTTTTTACATGACTATAGTCCATCTGCCTGGTGGTTATTGCAACACACAGCCCACAATTGTGGGTGTCCTTTAGGTGAGGTGAAATGGGGTTTAACGTCGCGTCCAAGATTAGTGCACTTATATAGCGACGTGCATGTACGTGTGTCTGCTTGTACTAGTCCGGACTGATGCCGATTAATAGTGGTAGCACACTTAGATACCATGCCGCAGTTTAACATGAATACCCCACTCAGACACAGTATACTGACTCCGAGCCGACCAGTCCTTGATTTAGCCCCTTAATGCCGAGCGCCAGACAGGGTAACAACAAGTACCACCTTTTAACATCTAATGGTATGACGCGGCTGGGGTCGAACCCCGGACCTTCCGCTCTCCGGGCGGACGCTCTACCATTAGACCACGGAGAAGGTCCGGTTGTCCTTTAAGTTCCTTTGACTATCATTATCATTTTAACAACACATATGTAACACAAACACGGATTTTCTTAAATTTCTCAATTTCAACTTTGACAATAAATAAGTATGAAAATGGAAAATCACATTTCTTATATTCGATGGCATATTTTTCATTGACAGATTAATTATAGTCAAAGGAAAACATCGAGTGTTCTTTAACTTCTTATGAGTTGTATATATGTATTTTTCTGCTGTTTATTTGGGAGTAAAAATGGGATCGGGTTCCAGACTTGGGTGATTGTGAGTCATCGTGTTCCGTTATCTTTGCCCATGGTTTCGCCCATTCACTCATTATATGTGACGCACAGGTTCCACAGATGAACAGAAGATAGTGCCGCAAAGGCGGTGCATGGGTGAGTGAGTGAGGTGGGTTTAACGCCGCTTTTAACAGTATTCCAGTTATAACGCAGCGTGTCAGCTTAATGTGGGAGGAAAGCCCGAAGTGATGAAGGTCTCAGACGTTTACCACTTCGGTGAAACCCACGAACAAGGGTATGTTGCTGACAAACCTAGAAACATAACCGGGGCGAACCGTGATTCGAACCCACAATCATAGGTCTCTGGCGTGCCTAAGGGACGCAACTCTGCACAGCGAATCGCGGCGCCTTAGACGACTTGGCCACCCGTGCCCCCTCATGTAGAACAACATAAACTGAGACTATATTACCACAGACAGGCCTGTTCCCTTTCTGATGCACTTTTCGAGCCACTGGTCACATGATGAAATGAGGTGAGGTGATGTGAAATTGGGTTAAACGTCGCGTCCAATATTATTGCACTTATATAGCGACGTACATGCATGTGTGTGTGTGTGGCTGCTTGTACCAGTCCGGACTGATGTCGATTTATAGTGATAGCCAAACCATGTCGCATGAATACCCCACTCAGACACTGTATACTGACTTCGAGCCGACCAGTCCTTGTTTTAGCCCCTTAATGCCGAGCGCCAGACAGGGTACCAACAAGTACCATCTTTTAACGTCTTTGAGAATGACGCGACCGGGGATCAAACCCTGGACCTTCCAGTCTCCTGGCGGACGTTCGACCACTAGACCACGGAGGCGGTCACTTGATGAAGTAACTAAACTTGTATTAACTTATATTATTCCCCCAATTCCACCAGCAGCTAAGTTAATCAAACTATCCACGGCTACACCCAGCAAGTGTATCACAAAACAGGTCCTCAGTTTATTCATCTCGAAAATGACTGTGGTAGACTTGCCTCAACCAATTCCGGGTTCGACTCTCTAGGGACTGTGACAAATTTGTTTCAAATGATCCATGAGAAGTTGTCATAAGCCGCTAATCGCAGAATGCAGTCATATTGGCATTGTAGCAATATTAATACAACGATTCTGATATACGCCAAGGATTTGTATGTAGATCATGTCGGAACACAAGCAGTCATGTGATAGCGTGAGGTGACGTATTCAAATAATTGAAACATTTGTTTTGTTTTTGTGTGATGTTCGACAACACCGCAATAGCCAGATGAGCAATTTGTCTGGCATATGCCACACGCGTCGCTTCCCTGGCGTGATTGAGTGGTAACATGGTACGAAAATACTTTCTTCGTGAATTGTGAAAGCGCAGAAAGGCAATAGACACAAGCACCAGACGTTATAAAAGAGCGGAAATTATTCCAAAACTCAATGAAAAACATAGAGAAAAAGTGATTTTCAATTTGCATACTTATTATTTGATAAAGAAAATCCGTGTTGGGTGAGTGAGTGAGTGAATTGCGTTTAACGCCGCTTTTAACAGTATTCCAGTTATATCACGGCGTGGAAATCCGTGTTGGCTTTTACATATTTGTTGATGATATGATAATCATATACTACACAAAACAAATTAAAGAACACACACCATTGGAAGGCTGTGTGATTCATTAACCAGAAGCCATGACAGATTAGTTATTGTCGTATAAACATATCGAGTGATCTCTATCTTCTTTTGAGTAGTATATAATCGACATTATGGTAGATCAGAGCAATAAACTGAAGTACAAACGAAAGTACACACCTGATAATTTAGGAGGCGGTCGGGTAGCCGAGTGGTTAAAGCGTTCGCTTGTCACACCGAAGGCCCGGGTTCGATTCCCCACTTGGGTATAATGTGATAAACCCATTTCTGGTGTCCCCCGCCGTGATATTCCTGGAGTATTGCTAAAAGCGGGGGTACTTAAGTACTGTCGGAAATGCAAGAACATTTCTTTTTGCCTGTTACAAAAAAGGCAGAATTTATCACAGACTGTTGCTATTGAAATATCGAGTAACTGTAGATCCACCTACCTGTGGTGTGAAGTATTTCAGCCACAAGCCGTTGTATCGACAATTTTACATCAGAAAAATAAGAACGAAAATAACAAGTTTAATGAGGGAATTCTGAAACGGACTAAAGAATTATGCGCCTGCGACTCTGTTATGATAGCAATAATGTAATCATCATAAAACATCTAGTTCACAAAAACAAGGCATTTGGAGAAAATTCTAGATGTGCATCTTATGAAATATCAAATTGGCGCTGCATTTGTTTTGTCAACACTGTTCCCATGATGCATGCTGCTTTACACTGCATAGCCACAGCCATGGTACACGCCATGAAGTCTGTAGTGGGGAATGTATACACCTTCTTTGCACTTGAGAGAGACAGAGGCAAACCATTTATTAGTTTATATATATTATTGTTTATACCCACCACCTGCGATGTGATAAAGAAAGGCGGTAGGGGTCGTCTCAAAAACATAACCGGGGCGTAAAAGGATAATATACAGCTTTGATACAGAGGTGATTAGGCGTACAATGTAAAGTCTTATGAGCAGAAGCTACCCCCGACTTCAAGCAGAATTCGGGAGGAAATTCAAGACAAAATTAAACTTTACCGAACTGCATTAATTATGTAGCAGGGCGTGGAGTCATCACACATATGACATCCTCACCTTGTCAGCTGGGGTTAACCTCTTTGGTCATGTGGACAAGGCGTCCGACCTCTGATCAGAAGGTCCGTGGTTCGAATCCCATCACGGGACTCGGAAATTTTATGGCCGCTAATTCTCCACGAGAAGGGATTTCGATACACTGCACGTGATGATGACCGAGCAGTTTTCAGGGGAAAATGTTCCATTCTGTCTTTTATGTCACATTATCACCGCAGTATTCATGACTGTAGGAGTCGGGGCGTCCAGATCATTTACCTTGGTACAACCGGGGTGAATAAGAATCATTCCACTGACTACATGTGTCTACCGTCAGGTGGACGAACAGCACCCAATGTACCAGCAGGTGAAGGTAATCGTGTCACTGTTATGAATGCCGGAACCTGTGATCTGGGGCTTAATGATTGATGTGAGCTAGTTTTAAAGTGAGTGAGTGAGTATGGTTTTACGCCGTTTTTAGCAATATTCCAGCAATATCACGGCGGGGGACACAGGAAATGGGCTTCACACATTGTACCCATGTCGGGAATCGAACCCGTGTCTTGGGCATGACGAGCGAACGCTTTTAACCACTAGGCTACCCGACCGCCCCTAGTTTTAAAGACGAAAAAGAAAACTGGTGATTATTTTAAGGACATGAATGGTGACGTGTTCTTAGACTGGTCGGAACATCACCTACTGTCCAATCTAAGGTGAGGTGAGGTGAAATTGGGTTTACCGTCGCGTCCAAGATTATTGCACTTATATAGCGACGTGCATGCACGTGTGTGTGTGTGTGGCTGCTTGTACTAGTCCGGACTGATGCCGATTTATAGTGCTAGCCCACTGAGATACCATGCCGCAGTTTTAACATGAATACCCCACTCAGACACGGTATACTGACTCCGAGCCGACCAGTCCTTGTTTGAGCCCCTTAATGCCGAGCGCCAGACAGGGTAACAACAAGTACCATCTTTTAACGTCTCTTGGTATGACGCGGCCGGGCCCTCTCGCTCACCGGGCGGACGCTCTACCACTAGACCACGGAGGCGGTCCTGTCCAATCTAAACAACCCCTGTGTCATGGTCATGGATAACGTCAGTTATCATAACGTCCGAAGGCGACCATGCAGGAATATCTGACATCTTGCAATGTCCTCTTCAGACCATCGGAAACGACAGCTCATGGAGAAAATTCACCTATCTTGGGTACGCCGGTCTGACATTGTGAACTTATCTGGGCTAAGCGTAAAGGGTTCCTGCAAGACATAGCACGATATTCAAACTCACTATGTCAAAGGGACGATCAACGTAGCCTTTGCTAGAATCACGCCAGAGGTATGGCAAAAGGCTGAAGATCCCACTCTGAAATTGAACGTCAGTTCCACCAAATTGACGGCATCGATATCAACATTGTGGCACTAGTTATCATACGTTTTAGTGCGATTTAGTACAGATTCAGATACGTCATCAGCTGAGTCAGATGCCAGCTAAAAATCATTTGTATCCAAGAGATTACACAATGCATACATGATGTACTCCCTAGCTTACAAGATGTACTTCACTAGACACATGATGTACTCCCTAGCTTACAAGATGTACTTCACTAGATACATGATGTACTCCCTAGCTTACAAGACGTACTCCCAAAGATACATGTACACCCTAGCTTACACGACGTACTCCACTAGATACATGATATACTCCCTAGCTTACAAAATGTACTCCCATAGATACACGATGTACTCCCTAGCTTACAAGATGTACTTCACTAGATACATGATGTACTCCCTAGCTTACAAGACGTACTCCCAAAGATACATGTACTCCCTAGCTTACAAGACGTACTCCCATAGATACATGATATACTCCCTAGCTTACAAGACGTACTCCCTTAGATACATGATGTACTCCCTAGCTTACAAGATGTACTTCACTAGATACATGATTTACTCCCTAGCTTACAAGACGTACTCCCAAAGATACATGTACTCCCTAGCTTACAAGACATACTGCACTAGATACATGATGTACTCCCTAGCTTACAAGATGTACTCCCATAGATACATGATGTACTCCCTAGCTTACAAGACGTACTCCCATAGATACATGATGTACTCCCTAGCTTACAAGACGTACTCCCATAGATACATGATGCACTCCCTTGCTTACAAGACGTACTCCCATAGATACATGATGTACTCCCTACCTTAAGACGTACTCCACTAGATACATTAATATGTAATCCCTTGCTTACAAGACGTGCTCCGCCAGATTCATTATGTAATCCCTTGCTTACAAGACGTACTCCACTAGACACAAGACGTACTCCCGTAGATATATTATGTACTCCCTAGCTTACAAGACGTATTCCCCTAGACACATGATGTGCTCCCTATCTTACAAGATGTACTCCCTCAGACACATGATGTGCTCCCTTGCTTACAAGATGTACTCCCCTATACACATGATGTGCTCCCTTGCTTACAAGATGTACCCCCTAGACACATGATGTGCTCCCTTGCTTACAAGACGTACTCCCCTAGACACATGATGTACTCCCTAGCTTACAAGACGTACTCCACTAGACACATAATGTACTCCGTAGCCTACAAGACATACTCCACTAGATGCATGATGTACTTCCTAGCTTATAAGGCGTAATCCACTAGATACAGGATGTACTCCCTTGCTTATAAGACGTACTCCCCTAGACACATGATGTACTCCTTAGCTTCAAGACGTAATCCACTAGATACATGATGTACTCCCTAGCTTAAAGACGTACTCCACTAGATACATGATGTACTTCCTAGCTTACAAGACATACTCCCCTAGACACATGATGTACTCCCTAGCTTACAAGATGTACTCCCCTAGATACATGATGTAATCCCTTGGTTACAAGACATACTCCACTAGACACATGATGCAGCCCTTTATTTACAAGATGTACTCTCCTAGATTCGTGGTGTACTCCATTAGGTACATGATGTACTCCCCTAGATTCAGGATTACTTCATTGGATACAGGTCGTACCCACCCGAGATTCATTGTGAAGTCTTTTGGATACCTGAAGTATTCACCTAGATACACGACGTGCTCTCCCACACACATTTCCGCTACGATATGGCCACCCATGTTAAACCGCGGGGACAGCCTGTTACATTCACTGCTTGCAGAAAGGTATATTTTCAACATTTAAAATGTTGTTAAACATGTTTATTCAGTTGTAATTAACTGTGTGGGTGAGTATACAATTGCGTGCAATCATAAATTCCTTTGGGAAATCTACACAAGGTGATCGGGAACACACATTTTGGACGTACAATGACTTACACTTCCATACTTCCGCGACCTTGTCTGTGTGTAAATCCGCCGCCTCAGAAGAGCTTATTGCTCTATTTCCAATAAGACGTTTGCATAAGATGTAGATTTAGCTATAAAGTGGTCAGAATGTCACACACTTTGTCCGATTAACACCTTTAGCTTTGTTAAAATCGGAAATAATATATAATATCTAAAGGTTGCGAATTTTATAAATACACTTTCGTTAATTCCAAAGGCCCGAAATTGAGCTTCGACATAACCAGTGGTCATAACTGGTTAATATGGATTTTACATTTGTTTGTTTGTTTTTTGTTGTTGTTTTTTGTTTGTGTGTTTGTGATCTGAACCAGACAATCCAGTGAATGACATCATCAGCATCGATATACATGTTCTCAATTCAGATACGATAACATGTATCAACAAAGTCAGCGTGCGTGAGCACCCGATCCCTTTAGTCGCCTCTTATGACAAGCATGGGTTGCTGAAGATCTATTCTAACCCGGAGCTTGACGGGTTGTTTTGAATTGTAAAGAGATGTATATCCAGGGGAATCTGTGTGGATTAGGACCTACACACAGGATTAGGACCTACACACAGGATTAGGACCTACACACAGGATTAGGACCTACACACAGGATTAGGAACTACACACAGGATTAGGACCTACACACAAGGTCACAACGTCATAACCATTCCTTACCCAAGGATGAGGACACCTCAAAAGGGCTTCACATATTATACTCATGTGCGGAATCGAACCCGGGCCTTCGGCGGCGTATTTAGCGAACGCTTTAACCACGAAGCTACCTCACAGCCCCGGGGTAGCATTCTATTGCGTGTCGTATAAGGCGACTATATTGGATCGGCAGTCAGATTCTGTCATTAGTTTGTTGCTTGACGTCATGCCCTAGAGTAGTAAGCGGTATAGTTTAACTTCGAGATATTGATACTTCGGGATAGCCGTTAATTGGGGGGAAAAAAGAAAAGGGGCGGTCGGGTAGCCTAGTGGTTAAAGCGTTCGCTCCTCACGCCGAGTACCCGGGTTCGATTCCCGACATGGGTACAATGTTTGAAGCCCATTTCTGGTGTCCCCCGCCGTGATATTGCTGGAATATTGCTAAAAGCGGCGTAAAACCATATTCACCCACTCACTAATTGAAAAAAAACGGATTTAAAATAGTTTTAAAGACGTTTGGAGTCGTAAGACAGATAGCTCTTAGAAAGAAACTGTTTCATATCAGTTCACAAAGCGAAGTTAGGGTTTTGAGTTAACTTCGAGACAGTCGGTGTTTAAGAACCAGAAGCTAAATAAATGTATACAACATGTAGCGGAGTATTGTTTCATGCATGTGTCACGGTTTGTCAGAACCATCCATATCTGTGTGTTTTACCAAAGTGGTAATATTTGTTTGTTTGTTTTATTTGTTTGCTGTTTAACGCCGCACTCAACAATAGTCCAGCTATATGACGGCGGTCTGAAAAAAAAATCGAGTCTGGACCAGGCAATCCAGTGATTGACATCATGAGCATCGACCCACGCAGTTGGGATACGATGACATGCATCAACCAAGTCCTGACCACCAGATCCAGTTAGTCACCTCTTACGAAAGCATAGTCGCCTCTTACGGCAAGCATGCATGGGTGGCTGAAGATTTATTCTACCCCGGATCTTCAGGGGTCCAAAGTTGTAATAACGTCTGATGCCTGCATCACTTTAGCCTTTCCTTACACTTTAAACTGACACGCCGTGATAAACCCGGAACACCGTTCAACGCGGCATTGAACCCAACACATTTACCAAGTGATGGTTATTTCGGGAGAATATCTTTCGAGACAACCGATTTCGAGTTGTGTGATGCAAACTGCGTACCTATATAACAATTTAGCTTCCTTACATGTTCTATCCCATTACCGACGTATGTGATCTTAAAAGTGTTTCTAATGTGTTGATCCATGTCTGTTGGCCAGTGTTTATGTCCATGTAAAACACGAAATTAGCTTGTGATATTACTTTCTACAGGTCAAAAAACAATCAGGTGTACAATGGAGACAGATTAATGAGATTTCAACCTATGAAGCCGGCGTGTTCTTTCAGCTCGGCGACCGTTATGACGGTCAATGCGGAGTGATTGGAATCTGTCTTTCGTGATGCAGAATATTCTAAAGTATTTTCATCAATAACGAAGGCTGTACCTATTTACAAAACAAACTTCATCCCCAAAGCATGGAAAGAATCTTTTGGTGTTTGTATTTCCCCGGGGAGCGATCATTTATTATGGTGTCTCTGTTTGCCTGAGGGGCCGATCATTTATTGTTTCTGGCTGGGTACGGAGGGCGGGTCCTTTTAAGCTAAGACTAACATGTACAAGATCATATTATTCTCTTACTATGTGCTTCTAATATACGTCGCCATGTGAGTGTCTACTTTATCCATCGCCAAGTGGTAGAAACTCCTCGAGGGGTTTTATGAAAACTGAGTGTGTTTGATTCAACGGCGTTTTGAACATAATTGCGTTAAAGTTGATTGTGTCTACTCGATTCGATCATTACTTTGTTAAATAATTATTCAAATTCAGACCCATTGCTAGTTGGTAGTACACTTGTTCTCATTGAAATCAAGCCAAACTATAGGAAGGTTCGAGTGCAAGCAACACCCGGTTGATTGAGAGCTTCGTTTAATTTGGCATTCGAGGCCATATAGCATACACAGCTATTGAGTAGTGTGTTTGTTTGTTTGTTTGTTGTTTAACGCCGCACTTAGCAATATTCCAGCTATATAACGGGGGTCTGTAAACATTGAGTCTGGAACAAACAATCCAGTGATTGACATGAACATCGATCTTCGCAATGTGGATACGATGACATGCATCAATCAAGGCCAGGCCTGGTGATCCCGTTAGTCGCCTCTCACGACAAGCATGGGTTGCTGAAGAACAATCGGACCTGCACTAGTTGCCTTGGAGCAGTGATATGGCATGAACTGTAAACAGTATGACGATGACGCTTGTTATCATCTGTGCAGTATGAGAGAGGGAGAGGAAGAGAGAGAGGGGGTGAGAGACAGATTGTTCATACATACATACATACATACATACATACATACATACATACATACATACATGCCGAAGACCCGGGTTCGATTCCCGACATGGGTACAATGTGTGAAGCCAATTTCTGGTGTCCCTCGCCGTGATATTGCTGCAATTTTGCTGAAGGCGGCGTAAAACCACACACATGTACACACACACACACACACACACACACACACACACATACTGGGCTCCTGTCTACGCTGACGAGTTCATAGTTAACCGATGTCTAGTGGGCTGCTATTCGACGACAGAGGCGAAATCTGTGCAGAAAGAAAATGGCAGCCTCCATGCAGTGTGTTTGTGATATTGAAATTGTTCTCGCAACGATAAATGTACGCAGAGAGTCATTTGTTACAATCACAGAACTTTCGAGGTGTAAACTTGACTCCATCTTGGAATTCTGCAATACCGGGAAGCAGTGCGGATGCGCACGCACGATAGGAAATGGTATGGATTTGTACTACTTATTTTGGTCGCCGTCTGTTGGCTTAAAGCTCCAAGCATGCAGCGCAACCCAACAATGGAACCAGTTAAAGGGGGAATACTACAATGATGATATCGATACACGACTCTCGCGTGACTTGTAAAAGCCGCCATTTTTATACTCGCTGATTGACTTGTTTGGCTGATCATATCAAACTTTCATTTATAAGTGCAAACCAGGATATACCTCGTTTGAAAACAAATGCACCCTGTGACGGAGCTAATAGAACGAACATTGATTAACATACGTGTATATGATGTCACATACGTTGTGAACTGTCAGACGTTTGAAACCACGGTGAATCATTA